CAGTTTTTAAGGTCTCATCCGGAGGACCCGCAACTTTCACTTCAAAGTGCCAAGCGCTTGGCGAAGGAACAGTTTCTACCTATTTTTTTTTTTTTTATCGACTTAGGTCAGTCGTGGCCGAGATGCGAACTCACGACCTTCCGATCACGGAGCGAGCTCTCTACCGACTGAGCTACCGTGACGGTTTACAGTAGCAAGAAAGCTTTGAAATATCATTTATTAGAATTACTCTTAAAATGAAGCTTGTAATTGTTGAATACATGGCTGTGATTCTATTGGGGACTGGTCTGAACATGACAATGCACCCATTCTGTACACAATCTGCTTCAAGAAAGACTATTATAAACTGCATTTTTATCGGGGTGAGGATATTTTTTTCATTTCAAAATCATTTCGGATTACGGTGTGTTTGAATTGGAAACATTTAAATTTCGATGATTAAACTTTAAAATTAATCGTTAGTCGGTCGAAACAATGTACGGTATTTTTTTCCTTCATAGTTGCGTTCTTTTTTTTTTAACAATGAGAAAATCATTTTAACATGTACGACAATATTTTGTTGAAGATTAATTTAGTACGAACATTTTAGCGACGTCTAAGAGAATCTGAATTTATGTTAAAACTTCAATTGTAGTCCAGGGCAATATAACATTTCTGTTTGTTTCCAAAATTACCAACAGAAAATATGTGAAGTGTTAAAAAAAATGTTTATTTCAAGACGGAAAAAAATATAATCAATATAATAATTACAAACGAATTTGGATGAGAGACATACTAACATCAATGAAAGATTGATGACATATAAACTGTTTCTTGACAAGAAATGCAAGTCAATACATTCTTGGACAACAGTGGTCTCCCAACCACAATATTGTTACAAGACACAAATGTAATAATGCGATAGAATTCATCAATACTTATTGGAAACAAGAGTGGTGCATTAAAAATACCATCAACCCAAAGGATTGAAGCACCATTCAAAATGACAATCACAACACTTGCTCTTTCGTCAGTAAAATTTTTCTTGGCAGCACTTCGAGTAAACAAAAGAAATTATGTTAATGGAGATAAGATGCCTTGCGCGGCAATCTGATTGGCTGAGGCAGATAAGGGCTTTGATATAAATTAGGGGCCGGATAAAAAGAGGTCAAAGCTAGAAAAGGGAGGATTTTTTTTTTCATTTCAAATTTACAAATAAATGTTTGGGAAAAATATCAACATAATACGGTACATTCTAACATCAACAAAAGTAAAGTAACGCAGTTTTAACATTAATTGCTTTATTTGAAAATAAACCTTAGTTTATATCAGTGATACATTAACTATATCCTTCGCGGAATAGTTCATGTTGCGCATATACGGTTCTTTAAATAAGTCTTCCATAATAACTATATATACCAATGTCCGAAACATAATTTCCTCTTTTCTAATCTAATCTTGTCTCATCTAGAGAGGAATATATTGTAGCTTGGTTCATGTTTTAGTAATTTTAATATTGTGTCGTTTTTTTCTAAGATAAAATTAAAAAAGTCAATTTATTCTGTACATTTCTTCGCTATCTTGAATCAGTTTGCTATAGAAACAAAAATTAGTATTTATTTTGTGACACATGCGCGCCAAACAAAGGACATAATGCCGAAGGTGAAACCAAGGTCAATAAGGGATGTCACGGAGGAGTGGCCTTCCCAAGTTAGAAACCGTTCACGGTAGCTCATTCGGTAGAGCGCTTGCTCCGTGATTGGGAGGTCATGAGTTCGAATCTCGGCCGCGACTGACCTAAGTCGATAAAAAATGGGTAGCAACTGTTCCTTCGCCATGCGCTCGGCACTTTGAAGTGAAAGTTGCAGGTCCTTCGGATGAGACCTTAAAAACCGAGGCCTCGTGTCACGACAGGCGTTGGCACGATAAAGATCCCTCACTGCTCAATGGCCCTGAGTGCCGAGTAAAGGTCAAAATTTGAAGACCTTCACCAGTATATGGTGACGTCTCTATATGCGTGAAAAATTCTCGAATGGGACGTAAAACAGCATACATTCTATCAATCAATCCAAAGTTAGAAAATGTTTTAATTTGGTTTTAATTATCAAGGCTCATGTTATAGGATAGATTGTCCATATGTTCACGGATGCATGAAATGTAATAAAGTGCATCCATCTACATGTACATGTGACACTTGCACAACAACAAAAGCTGAAGGAGAATGCTAACCAAGCATTCTCATTTCCCGCGTTTGAAAAAAAGTCAGCTCAGCAGGCTAACATAAGTACCCCTGCACAATCCACTAAATATTCTAAACAATAATAAACACCTTCGGTTTTAGCTGATAATGTTTTTCCCCTTGCTTGTAATCCTTTGGTGGGGAGGGGGTGGCTGCAAATTTTTGCCTCTCTGCACAATCTAACATAAACATATCACATGTCATATTTAAACCTAATACAACTAAATGTATTTCAATCAGATCTTTTTTTTTTTTTTTTTTTTTTTTTTTTTTTTTTTTTTTGTTTTGTTTTGTTTTGGTTTTGTTTTTGTTTTTTTTTTTTTCCTGAGGAGAAATAAAGTTTTATTCAAATAAGACGCTTTTGTAACAAACAAAAAAAAATCTTGTAATTTCAATTGAAATTATTTACAATTTAAGAACTGACATTTATAACATCGTTTTCATTTGATACAGTCATATGAAGAGGATTCCTTTCTGTCACTTAGCTCTTGGTATTCACTTTTGATATTTTCATCGGTCATCTCATCTATGTAATTAATATTATGATGAGGATGTTGACTTTCGTTAAGCGTTTGCCCTGTTTCCTCCCCGCTCCTGTGCCGTCTGTAGGAAAATTAAAAAAAGACATAAAGTAACTTATGCCTACTTAAGCCTGAAGAGTGATTCAATTCACTCGTCATTTAAGAAATATAAACAATGAATAAATAGTTTGAGAAAAATAAGGATCTCTGGGTCAATACTTTACCTACCGTAACAGCAGGAATATAACCATTGTCAACACGATAATGACTGCGATACATACACAAAGCCCAGCAACAACTCCATAAAATCTGGATTGCAAATCTGACTCTTCCTTTGCTTGAACTATGGTATGAAACTTATTTTTTGTCAATTTGTTTTTCATTCAAAACGTAAGAAATGATTTAAAAAATACTGACAACAGATTTTACAACAGGTTTTATCACAATTAATATGCTTGCATTTAGAAATTAACGAAACGGTCATTGTTACTTTGGAAACAGTCGTGTCCCTGCCAGCCATCTTTACATCCCTCTTTACAGGAGCCAGTCACGTGGTTACAGTCACGTGATATCTTACAAAATGAACTGCATTCTTCTTTGCAATCATCTCCAAAATAACCAAAGTTACAAACTGGAAAAATAATATTATTATCATAAGATCCCGAATATATAAGATTGAAAGAAAATTTTATTGAGCCAGGTCGAAAAATATTTTGGAAAAGACGTTGTATGTTCGTTTTTTCCTTTTTCTTTGTTTTAAATCGAAATTAACCATTTCCTTTCGTTTTTTGTTTAAATTTAATCTTTTTTAAAGTTCTATCAATTATCATGGATATTTTTTTTCTTTCACATTGCACATTCAGGAATATATCGGATGTGCTTAAAATATATTGTCAACGTTTTTCATCCTATGTAATTGATGAAAAAAAAATGAAATAAATATTGATCATAAGGGCAGTATACTTTTCTTTGCTTGTAAATTATAACTAGCACCATGGTTGTTGTCAAAAATACACCAAAGACAAAATCTCTCATTAATATTGCGTACCTTCATCACAATTATCTCCCTTATATCCTGGATCACAGCCATTGCTACAAGTTCCGTTCACGTGATGACATGAATGCTGATATCGACATCTGCCACACGCCTCCCAACAATTCAGACCGTATTCACCCTTGTCACATTCTACGACGTGAAAATAAATAAGTAAACTTTCTTATAATCAAAAAAGTGTAAAACACAAAATAAAAACGTTAAATCATATAAATATTAGTAAATCAATTATTTTCTCTTCTCAAGAAAAGAAAGGAAAAAAAAAATATTTTGTTGGGGACTTCCTGAAAACATATAACCTATCACTTACATTGTCTTATTAATTATTATACTGGCGTACCGTTAAAAATAAAACGCAAACCCTTTATTCCCATTTCTTTTTCAAACATTTAATCATGGGTTTTGCTGCTTTCTTTGGATTACTTTGTTAGCATATCTTTGTACTAGTACTTAAACTATCAAAGCTATTTATAAGATCAGAGTTGTATGCGCCTGTGGCAGCTGATTGGTTTGTTATTAATACTGAAGCCTTAAATTCTAGACTATATTACTTGTCTATCTTTTGAGGACATACATGCACTGGGTCCTACTATCATTGCGTAGCTTTAACGTAATACAGTATTCGGCGTATACTCATAACATTAGATCTGAATGATTTGAAAATTGAACAAATAACCTATGTTTGTCTCACTTGCATATATTCATCATAACACTGCATTATCTGTAGCAAATGCCGGATTTCTTGCAAGCGTTGGATAGAAAAAAGATCCAGTCTAGACAGACGAGACCATATTTTAATTAACAAATCGGTGTTTTATTTTATACCAGTTTGAAATTGTTTGTAGAGTAATTCATATTAAATGCAAAATAATTCTGTTATTTTGGTTACTCTGAAGCTCAAGGTTAACTTCAAATTTCATTCGCAAAAATATTTTCCTCCAAATCTGTCTGCGTAAAGCACATGAAATCAACTGAATTGTGAGTGTCCTCGTTGCACTAGATGAATTTGTTCCAGAAGGACTTAGATTGAAGAAAAAAAAGAAAAGATTTCTACATTATCTTCTTTAAAGTAAACCTTTATTGTTACCTTTATCGCAAGAAATTCCTTTCCACCCTGGTTTGCAGCCACCCTGACATTGCCCGGTTGTATGGTTACATCTGTTTGTTATTGAGCAGTGTTGGCTACAAGTATCTTTACAGTTAACACCATACTTTCCTGGAACACACCCTGATTCAAAGCAAGGATATTAACTTCTTTGATTTCATCTCATTTATAAGGATGCAAGAAAGTAACTATTTACATACACCAGCATCTTTTTTTTTTTTTGGTGCTATGCGACGCTTCATTTATATTCAACAAAAATTAAATTCAGAAATTTTCATATCTCGTGATCTGTCATTTATAGAATTACTTTGTTAAAATCATCCTGATTCTAAATACAGACATAGATATGTAATTTTTTTAAAGAAGGTCTTCGGACAAGTTGCCTTAGACTTCCCTTTTTTTACATTCGTCTGATGTAGAATTTATTCAAAACCTGCACACAAAGACTAAAACTTACTTCTGCTTTCAAATCGACATTTGTCTCCCGAGTGGAGCAGTGGTTAGAGCCTTTGCTCTGTAATCGCGGAGTAAGGAGTTGATCCTTATATCGCGGGTTCGAATCAATTGTGTAACGCGGACACCGATCCTTTGGATGAGACCGTATAAATCGAATTTCCATGTTGCAGTAGATGCTGACACGAAAAGGATCCTTCACTTCTCAAAGGCTGTAAGTGCCGAGTACAGGTCTAAATCGGCAGCCCTCCACCGGCAAGTGTTGGCTGCATATATGTGTGTGAGAAATTCTCGATGGGACGTTTAACAAACATACAAAAACATCAATTCGACATTTAAATATAGCAACAACGTTTTATCAATTAATATAGTTACTTTTATTCTTATGTCGACTCAATATATCGAAGTGACCTTGAAATTGAAAACATCACAGAGTCTGACACATCTGTGTCATATTTAAATCTTTATGACTATGGGAGTTAATGGTCAACTAACAACTGAACTCTATGACAAATAAGATGACTTCCGCTTTTTTTTCATTCTCGATTTTCCTTAAATATGTAGTAATAATCCAATAATCAGCTTCATATAGTGTGTGAATGTCTTAACTGACAAGGTCCACACGCAGATATTCTGGGTATAATCGGTTTTCAAATTGGGGCAGGTCACTGACAAATACGTTGATGTTACATTTATCAATTAAGAGGGGTTTCAGAGGAAATAACTTGTCGAAATGGGATTTCCAGTCCTTTTAAGAACTTTATCTCACCATTATTTTTTTTTCCATTTGTCTGTATTTGCACTATTAACGATTTGTATTTTCAATTGAATGTGTCTCAAAGTAGAAAATAAACTTTCTTTAATCTTGTCTGTGCAGTTGCTGTGAAAAAAAATACTGAAATTTTCAGTTTCCTTCTGTTTCCATGATAACGGTTGGCATTTTAAAAACTTGAAATGAACAACTATACTGGACGATTGTCATTATTGTGAGGTTTCATTGACATAGTTTAAGTTATCTTCGAAACTCCTGTGAACAGAATCACTGTTGGAACAAGAACAATATGTTCCTGACTGTTCGAATCTACATAATTAGGTGAAAGATCTCAAATATGGGAATTTTTAAAGATTTTTTAATTATACATGTTCTAGAAATTGTGTAATTTTAATCGCCTTTTATGATTTCTTTTAATTTCTTTTATAATTGTTTGTAGATATTGATAATGCACTTATTTTTATTTTTGAATTTTTCTCCACTGTATACTAAATTAGGAGAAGCAAGATTTAATAATTTTTGTTGAAGGAAAACCTTATAGTTACATTTATAATGTACAATAAGGCTAGTTACCTGTTATACAGAGTTGGCCAAAGTATCCTCTATCACACCCATCTGGGCATGTTCCATTTATGTGATCACATTGTTTGTAATCCAGACAAACGCCACAATCCTGATTACAGTACTCTCCATATTTTCTCATATTACATTCTAATAAGTAAAAATTTCGCGTTTAAAAGATAATGTAAATTTGCAATTGATGGGGAGAACTTACGCACTCAGCCTCTAACGTTATTGAATAATATTTCTTTTTTTTTTCTTTTTTTGAAATGGAACGCAACTTTCTATTATTTGATTTTGATTGCCCAAAATTTATGAGAGTACAAGCGAAATGATTAGAATATTCAATAATTGGACACTTCTTTATATGGATTTGAACTGTAATACAAATGCCCTTAGCAAACAGGGATGTATATAATATAGTGGAGTGATACAAGACAGTTTGCAATGATAATTAAAAATTTGCAATATGTACAGATGGTACTTATATATATATTTTAAGACACTCACGTTGTTCGCAATGTCTACCCTTATAGCCCGGATTACATTGTAAGCAATATCCTGATTCTATATGACAGAACTGCTTGCAATTTGTAGGACACTGCTGGGAACAATTTAATCCATATCGTCTAGGAGCAGAACAGCCTATAAATATATTTGGAAACACCTTTCATAACAACGAGCAAACGTCAACAAATACGAAACTGATACCGTCTGGTCTTAATACGTAGCTACTGTTGTATAAATTCTCACCATAAACTTCAACCTCACACAGTTCAACAAATGCGTATGTGGAATATCCATTCGGATAGATAACACTTGGAAGCCTCTCGTTATAGTAGATGACGAACTGTCCATGTACAGGGCAGGTTATATTGACAACTGCTGGTATTGTGGCTCTGTTATACACAGTGTCATGAAAGCATTGGTGACCATCAAGTCTGTTTGTTGTGTTGGATATATGAAGAGAAAATCCTAGAAATCTTCCTGTATAGGCATTCAAAGCATCTAAAACAAAATCAAGGTTCTTTTAAAGGCATATTTTTGTTTGTAGAATCCATTTAAACAATGGGCAAAATTTGTAAATATTCCTAAATGCTGAGGCCTGAGAGTTATACCCCCAACAAACCATAGTTATGAAATTAACAACAAAAAAACTGTTTGACTTAACAGTTTTTCCGAGAAGGAGATATTCTTTGCATACCAAATACAGTAACAAATTAAATGCTCTTTTAATGCTACACACAAATAAGGAACATTAACAAATGTTAGACACTCTTAAAAGTTTTTTCTGCAGACAAAATTATTCCTTAAGCAGCAAAAAAAATTAAAAATGCCGTTACGTTTTTTAATGTACACCCTTCGATGAATAAAACAAAATATTTATATGAAATGTAAGACACAATTGCCTTTCGGACAACAGAGAATTTTTTTCGTGTCAAACGCAGGTTTGAGTTGACATCAACCAGTTTAATTGCTTAAGAATATCTTTAAATTTTGTACACAGAAAAAAATGTTGGAATCAAATGGCGATTAAATTATCTACATTATACTCAAAATGATATATAATCTAAACCAAAAAAGTTAAAAATTTAGTAAAGATTTTGTTTTGTTTTTCCATGAACCATGAAACCGGCTGCTACTACAGTTACACAATAGTCCTACATGCAGACTACACATTCAATTAACTGGTTAACAAAAGGCGGTGAACAGTTTGCACGAAAAGCTACACGGTGTGTATGAAAAAAAAAATTACAGGGGACGTTGCAACATTTACATGAAGGCTATATGAATTAGTTTGTATTAAGTTTTTATGGACCAACATTTTTTTCTAAGACACTTTGGTTTTATGTAAAACTTCATTTCATATTATCTCAGATAGCATTTAAATATAAGTAAAAGGATGACTGCACTTAATGTCGGTTTTTTGGTCTTTTTCGGTTGCTTCTGTTGCTTTTATATCTAAACCTTGTTTCCTTTTGTGTGTTTATGAAAGAATCCTGTCAATTTGGAACCAAATTTAAATCTTAAAATGATTTTAGAGAGTGATACAATAAAATGATTCAATGTTTTTTTTTTTTTTGTTCTTACTGCTTTCCAATTATAGAGAATTTACACTTACCTGCCCTTGACTAATATAAGATATGCATGAGAGGTGGAGCTAACATTGTAAGAATGGGTCTAAAATTAGACTTCATATAAGAATGACTTATTTGAAAAAAAAAGAAGAACGTGATCACTCTTTCCAATCTCCCTCTCCATTCTGTATGGCACAAATACACTACTGACAAAGGTTTCAAAACGAAATTAATAATAGGAGCACGCCAATGTAATTAAGGCAGATTTTATATCAATGTCAGATGACTTAACGTGTTCGAACACAATGTCCTAGTTAGCACAAAACATACTACCTTTCAAGTCACGTGACGAAATTTAGTATTCACTGTATGTAAATTGGTAATATATTTATCCTTTTATCAATTCATTTTTTTTTGGGGGGGGGGGTCATTTTTTTTTAAATTACATATATCATGTTCAATTTTATGTGGAATATATATTCAAATTAAATTTTCCATACCTCTTTAAACGTTTAACACACACACACACACACACACACACACACCCTTGTTTGTAAATCCAGCCAACTGACTACATTTGAAATTTTACCTTCATCTCGCTTCACCGATTTAGAGGCTTGAAAAAGAGAAAGTAAGACCAGAATATACCGAGGTTAACCTTAGGATTTCTCTGTATCTATAGGAATTTTTGATATCTTTTACTTTAAGTATATTGAAATTCGACATGAATCTCACTACATTTTTACACTTATTGAACACACACGTGCAAATCAGTACAGCTAATTCAACCGTCAATTCACTACAAGGTTATAAACACACAGGAAAATCGCTACAGCTAGTGATCATGTTTATTTTTTTAATTGCACCGTTTATTTTATTTTATTTACTGGTATAAATGGTGTATGTATAAGACAGTACACAAGATCAAAGGAAAAGATTGGATATACGGCAAAAATGTATGTTATCAGAGCTGTTCCCATGTTGACATATACATGTATACAGCATGTACAGCGCCGGTCTAACATAAACTCTAATTAACATTAATCTCAGAGTCGATAATTGAAGATATCTTTTAATAATCAAGGACATCATCAATTCATTTTTTATTATTAATAATGGAATGAACGATACTTTCTTTTAATGAAAGAACGGAAAAAATCTTTTTTAAGACAATCTCTAAATTGATTCTTTGCGAGTAAATTTTCCGCCACTGTATTGATAGGCCTATCTTCGATTCAATTGATAAGCGCATCAAATCAATTATTGCTCTCCTTTATTGAATAGTTGCGCGTATAAATCCAGCTGATGAGAGGAATAACTGATCTGATGCTCTCACTCATTCAGAAAATGTATTTCAAGCAGTATCCTAAGCATGTCTTGTATCTTTTCTTTCCATGTAACATCTGTGCAAGATTCGTTAAGCTAAAAACTAGTCCCCTACTGGTAAAAACGGTTCTTTCCTCAACTGTCTGCCTGTCTGTCCCTCTGTAAGTCCTTCCCATGGCACTTGAATTTTCCGCCCTTTTTCTACAGCTTGCAAATATTGAACTGATGTTTGGTATGTGAGTCTACCTTTACTAAGTTACAGATCAAGTTTGAATTTCCGCTTTCAAGAGTTTTGACGGAATTACGGGCATTTCAATTTTTTAGGAGAACCAGATAACATTTGCCGGTAGGGTGCTAGCATTGCATATGCAATACTCTCAAAATGCTTGTTAAAGTTACGAAAAAAGCTACTCCCTAAGCACCTAAATGGTCACTTTTGCTGATAATGAAGGAAAAAGCAGCATCCGAAGCAATACTGCTATTATCAGCAGTCAATATTAGCTGCTCGGCATTAAGCTAGATAACTTGTGATTTATAAGTTCTTTCAAAATTAAGAGTAGTGGCATGTTTGAAATATATATTCTTTCAGCATCGAATTTTCTTTAAATTTTTCCCAAAAAATCCCTGTGTGAAGAATCGTGTGGTCAGTTAGTAAAAAAACAAAGTCGAACGTCAATTCATCATAGTTTCAAAACAGTAAATATTCCGTGATCTGGGTAACCAAAAAGTTAGTGGAATTAATTGTATTAATGATAATTTATTCTCATTAATACCCAATGATAATCGCCCAAGTTCAAGTGCAAGTTCAGTTTATTCACCCAACCCAAAATAATAGTACATGGGATACATTTATAACATATATATATATATATATATATATATATATATATATATATATATATATATATATATATATATATATATATATATATATATATATATATATATATTTCATATAAACTGTTCAGAGGTACAATATCTATATATACAATGCAAAAACATGATAAAAAATGAATAATGATAATGATAAAAATACTTCGCCGTTCCATTTTTAACCATTTTCAAGAGAAAATTCTTAAAAGATTACATATAGTCATATACCCTAATGTATAGTTAAGAAGATGCGAAGACTCCCTGACCGCTTGGGAAAGTGTGTTTAACACCCTACTGCTCAGATTGACCGGTGGGGGAGACTTTCAATGATTTGAAAATACGCTATCTAACAAGAACCATGTGGTTTAGCTAGAAAATGCTAAAATGCATTCTCTAAACGGACAGGGTGTCTCAAGCCGCCTCAATACCCTTGATAGATTCAGGGCAAAGCCCAGATGATGGCGCAGAGGACTAAAGTCCCTGAAAGCTCCGGAATTTTGACGATGCAAAGCCATTTTATTCACAGAAGAAGTTGAAGAATAGATATATTTTTGTTCTTATTCTAGTGAGGCATACTGGGCGACTGAAATTTCTCGGTACTACATTACTAGAGTATTTGAAAATTTTTTAAAGAAGATAAATCAATCATAAGTTAATGAAATACATTATAACGTGTACATAAACAGAAAATTTAAAAGGGTGTTTTAGTGATAACATTTTTGTACCGTGTTCCTACAATGAATTTCAGTATAAATATGAAAGTAAAAATTAAGAGAAAATTCATATACGAAGATGGCTTTCTATGCAAACTTCGTGATAATTATAGTTTTGTCAATGATAAAATATGTACAACCTTTGATTTTGAGTATCCTATGCCCTGAAGGAGTATTAATTTTTTTTAATCAATTTACTTTGGGGGAGACTAAACGATGTGCATGCTTGAGCATATAAGGAAATATGGAAGCTCTGCCATACCAGCCAAATTAACATACTTTTTATGTTACTTGTGTTAAAGATATATTCAAATAAAGCATGTAAATTGAAATGATAAAAAAAAAACATGTGATAATTGGTTAGAAATTTTAAATATTTCAGCAATATTAATAATGCCATCACATTGTTGGGGCTCGAGTTAAATTCCACTGATGAGAAGAATGACTGAATTTAATTGCTGCTAGCATCAAATCAATTACTGATCTCATCAATTCAAATGATGCGCGCCTTAATTTTTCTAATGTTTGCCAGCATCAATAATTCGCATTAATTCAATTGATGAGAGCAATAATT